AGATAGATAGATAGATAGATAGATAGATAGATAGATAGATAGATAGATAGATAGATAGATAGATAGATAGATAGATAGATAGATAGATTGACTGACCATTTGGCAGTTAGTTAATGCTTTCTGAATTCTGTGTAAACCAAAAAATTTATATCTCAAAAAATGCTTAAAATTATAGTTAAAATATTGGAGGTTGTGCATTCGTGTACGTAGTTCGTTCTGAAGAATATAAAACGCGAGCTATAACGAACTTCACCAGTAAACCCGATTCTTGCAAACTTTTAAATTATTACGGTTAGCAATTGCAGAAGAAAAAAGGAAAGGAGACCGACCGGGTTCCACGCGAAACTCTAGAGCAACTCGATTTGCATCGCTATGGCAACGGCATTGCCGTTAAAGATTTATTTGATTACAAGTAGATCGCTGCCATGTAAAGTGTGCAAGTACCTCATTATCAAACCGGAATCCAAGACAAATATATTGCATGTAGACAATTTTTGAAATTACACAAAAGTTTATCATTTATTTATTTAAAAATTACATTAATTTTATACGGGCAATTCATTAAGTACTTGTGATATCACAATAATTTACAACAAATGATAAATAAATAAATGAATGAATAAAAGTATGAATAAATGAATGAATAATTAAATAAATGTTATGGCTGTCCCGAAATTACCATAAAACTCAGAGACGGCTCCTTGACGGGTAATATTGTCTTTAATGCGTAAGACGTAGACTTGACGATTAACTGAAAGATAGTCACCAAGATTACTAAATACAAAGCATTTAGAAAATATCAGAAGTTACTATATAGAAATTAAACAATCAAATGATTACGTTACCAGAGATAACATCAGATTTCGCTCATTCTAAACATCGGTACAATATCAAGACTATACGACAGGATGAATTACAATATACTAAATATCAAATATACGCACAATACTCATGAAAGCAACCGTCTGTCTAATAACTCTGCTAGAACATGCAGTCTTTGGCTAGGTAAATCAGCATATAGACTGTACCATTTCACAAACCCTCGTCCTTGATTGAATTTAATTATGATACTCTATACTTACAACATACGATAAAATATAACATACTGATGCGCGACACTTATAAATTAATTGCTACCGAAACAATTTCGCTCCGTCTCCAATCAATGAACTGCCATTAGATCGTGCGGCTTTATAAACCTGGCTGTACTACGTACACTACATAGAGAGAGAGAGGGATGCAGTACTACGTACACTATATAGCCCACTCTTGTTACTCGTGTCCGCATAGTCTCGTAAAACGTGTTATCGGGTATTCCTTATCACGTGATACTCTCAAGTAAATATTATTGACCAATAGCGCTAAAATACGAACAATAATCAATCCTATGCACGCTAGCAAGGTCATGGGGTGACGCTATCACAACAAACTGTACAAATATACGAAATTTGGTCTCAACAAATTTTATAAATAAACTAATTTTAATTAAATAATGCACAGTCACTGACAGCTGAAGGTTTGAAAGCTGCATTCAGTCAGTAATTTCTAACCGGTTTTATCTATTGCAGGTGTCAGTATAGGCGCCAATTATTGTATTCAGCAAACGGTGGCGACAGGATGCGACGCTTGGCACGTCACACCTAGCGCATAAGACGCTACGCATATACCGCTCGATGACAATGGACGGGCGCACCTCCCGTATCGCCTTGCGCCGGGGATGGGTGACGCGACGCGCCACACCTACGAGCCAAGGTCCGGCCGATAATGGCGAAACACCGGTCGGATTGAAAATGGTGCCGGCGGTTTTCGAAAACGTATAAATAGGCACGAACAAAAAATCATAAGTTAGTTATTACCCAGAGGAAAAGACGAGAGACGATGTAGTGGAGATAGACGAAAACAGAGATGACGGGACTTAGGCTTGGGTACCTAGGTCGCCGTAGTGTATATATATAATTGTATTGTGTTTTACTAATAGTGTCAATTCTGCGAATACATCGTCTTTACTCTTTTTACTAACAACTCTACAACTCTGCGATGCTACGATGCCGGAGCGGAGATCAACAACCCCGAACTGCAATAATTGGTGGAGAACGCGAGAACTGTATTCGCTACGCTATTGCTTCGTCTTTACTCTTTGTTACAATCTGCTACCATTATATAACTCTACGCTGCTAACAACTCTACAATTCTACGATGCTAAACTCAGCTACGATGGATCTTCTCTACTCCTTGCTGCAATCATCTACGATACTACGATTCCGGAGCAGAGATCAACATCAACCCTTCACAGTACAATAATTGTAGCAAGTGATACATAAATAAATAAACAAAAGTATAAATAATTGAATGAATAAAGACATATAATAAATAAACTAATTATTAATTAATAAATTTCTAACTGGTTTCCTTATCGCAGGTGTCAGACAGTAGGTCCCCAGCTTCAAAAAACGCGTGTTGGGCCCTTAGTTCATACATAGGATCTTCTACAGTGAATCTTACGTTTCCTGAGATCACAGGACAAACTAACCCGCCCCTGACCGACTCCTCCATTTGCTTCCACAGCTTCTCAACGTTGAACTTTATAAGTCCGCTCTCACTCACCAGCGGACCGCGATCAAGACGTCCCAGTAACGCATCCACGTGCCGCACACGCAAATACGCGACCGGCACGTGATAGATTGCTTTATCGCAGTCCGCGGCCAAAACATTGAAATTATTAATAAAAGGATGCGACATGTTGCGCTTATGTGTGCACGATTGTACGTACTTAAATATTTTACGCACGATTACTGGGAACGGCAACGGATTCGCTGGGTTGAGTGATGCGATATGAAGCAGCGCAAGTTTTAGGAGGTAGGAGTCGATCAGTTTCCTAGGCTTAAAGCGACTGACGATATACAGCTGAATAACGTCTATGTTAACTTTATTAAGTAAATATGTAACGTCACTGTTTGTAAGCAACTCATTCTTATTCAATATGTTTTCACACTTATCATTAAAACCATGTACTTGAGGATCAAGAAATGCCTTTGCTGTGATTAGAGCTTGGCGATAAACTGGATGGAAATTTCTGATCATATTGCTTTCCGCTACTGCCGTACAGACGGACCAGTACGTATCATCTGTGTCCACGCCAGGCTTGGGTACCACGTGGTAGTGATCATCAGGAAAGATTTTTGCGCCAGCTGGCTTGCCCGAGATTCGTACTCCCGGCGTGCAATCTACCGATATAGGTAGATATCTAAAATGTCCGCGGCCAACAAATTTCATGTTAAACTGCGTGCACACTTTGTTCCATTCCAAAATATGTAACCTTTGTGTTTTGAATGAATGCTTTCCGTTTTTCATGACTTTCGATACAGCCTGACACAATAGCCTAACAAATTCTTCCTTTAGATTTACCGAAATATGCTGGTCTGAGTTTTCCTCGCGAACTGTTACAAAGCCAGCTGTATTAGATTTTGTGTTTTCAATAATTAATTTTTCTCGATATCTATCGATTTCGAATAGGAAGTCGTATTCGTCCGGCAGACCAGCTTTTGTGCGGTTGGCCGTGCTGCCTATCAGAATGGGCGTGCAGGAGAAGTCACTGTCTAAGACTTTCATCTCCTTGCAAACTTGCTTCATCAGGTCTAGCACGGCGTCCCGCATTTGATCGCATTCCTCCTGATGCTCTAATCTTCCCAAGCCTGGCGTCTCCCATATATCAGACAGTGACGTCACACCACTGACATTACAGCGTGATATCTTACGTTCTATGTCACAATAACAATGGTTAGGCAGCTCACTGACAAAGTATTGGTGCGCCAGTATAGCGCCGGCGGATTTTCTATAGCCGTCGTTGATGGTGACGTTACGGGCGCGGTATACGGCCTGCTGGTACGCGTGGTGCAAGTATGCTTGAAGCGACCGCCACATTCCTTTATCCAATAATTCCGTCACAATGCTTGTGTGACCGCCGGCGGCAGCAAGCACCAACGCCATCCAGCCATTGTTATCGCAACGCTCCACCTGCGCTCCTGCTGCTAGTAGCTTCATGACACACGATGTATGACCTCTACTGGCAGCAAACATCAACGCCGTCCTGCCATCCACGTTTGCGTGATCTATGTTAGCGCCTGCACCTAACAACGCTGTGACTGTATCCGTATCACCGTTATTAGCTGCTGCTATTACTGCGGTCCAGCCATCATCGTCCGCGTGTTCTATGTTAGCGCCTGCATCTAACAACGCTGTGACCGTATCCGTATGCTCGTTATCAGCTGCTACTTTTACTGCGGTCCTGCCCTTCAGGTTCGGGTGTTCTATTTTAGCGCCTGCACCTAACAACGCTGTGACCGTATCCGTATGTCCATAAGTAGCTGCTGCTATTACTGCGGAGTAGCCATCATGGTCCGCGTGTTCTATGTTAGCGCCCGCATCTAACAACGCTGTGACCGTATCCGTACGACCGAAAATAGCTGCTGCTATTACTGCGGACCTGCCAGAATCGTCCGCGTGATCTATGTTAGCGCCTGCATCTAACAACGCTGTGACCGTATCCGTGTGACTTCTATAAGCTGCTGCTATTACTGCGGTGCTGCCCCTCCTGCCCGTGTGTTCTATGTTAGCGCCTGCATCTAACAACGCTGTGACCGTATCCGTGTGACCATAAGAAGCTGCTTCTATTAGTGCGGTGCTGCCCAGCACGTCCGCGTGTCCTATGTTAGCGCCTGCATCTAACAACGCTGTGACCGTATCCGTATCACCTAGTGAAGCTGCTGCTATTACTGCGGAGTAGCCATCATGGTCCGCGTGATCTATGTTAGCGCCCGCACCTAATAACGCTGTGACCGTATCCGTATGACCGCTAAAAGCTGCTGCCACTACTGCGGTCCTGCCCCACCTGTCCGCGTGTTCTATGTTAGCGCCCGCACCTAACAACGCTGTGACCGTATTAGTTAAACCTATATCAGCCGCTACCATTACTGCGGTGCGGCCATCATGGTCCGCGTGATCTATGTTAGCGCCTGCATCTAACAACGCTGTGATCGTATCCGTATGACCGTAAGTAGCTGCTGCTATTACTGCGGTCAAGCCATTATTGTCCGCGTGTTCTGTGTTAGCGCCCGCACCTAACAACGCTTTGATCGTATCCGTATGACCGTTATCAGCTGCTACTATTACTGCGGTCTTGCCATAATCGTCCGCGTGTTCTATGTTTGCGCCTTCATCTAACAACGCTGTGACCGTATCCGTATGACCGTGAGTAGCTGCTTTTATTACTGCAGTCCAGTCCCACCAGTCCGCGTGTCCAATGTTAGCGCCTGCATCTAACAACGCTGTGAGCGTATCCGTATGACCGTTACCAGCTGCTGCTATTACTGCGGTGTAGCCCCTCTCGCCCGCGTGTTCTATGTTAGCGCCCGCACCTAACAACGCTGTGACCGTATCCATATGACCGTTACCAGCTGCTGCTGTTACTGCGGTCCAGCCATCATCGCCCGCGTGATCTATGTTAGCGCCTGCATCTAACAACGCTGTGACCGTATCCGTATGTCCATAAGTAGCTGCTGCTATTACTGCGGTCCTGCCTTTCACGTCCGCGAGTTCTATGTTAACGCCTGTATCTAACAACGCTGTGACCGTATTCGTATGACCGTTAGCAGCTGCTGCTAGTAATATGGCACCTGGGAGGATCTCTCGGAATATGTCTATTCTCGTCCGTGGTCTCTCGGTCGTCTTCCTAACTGCAGTGGATTGATTGATGTCCATATTGATGGTAATATATTGTGTTTTGATTCTATCCGCTTTTCGATACTTGAAATCTGGAGAAAAAAACATTTCATCTCTCGTAATTGGAAGAAGTTTTAAATTTGTTTCCTTCTCACACTGTACGCCAGCATGCGGCTGCGTTTGATTACGGAATGCACGTGTGAACACATTAACACCTAGTCATGACATAATTATACGTGAGAAATCTGAACTAAAATGATGATAATTATCCGTGTATTCGTGTATTAATTTATAAAAGAGTTTAATTTCAGAGATACGAAGATATAATAGATGTGAATATTTCATGTGGGAAAAATATGCTCCTAACATTTTTTTATGGAAAATGCCGTCAGAACGATTGCAAAGCGGACATGATTTAATAAGAGCAAACTTACTGTTTCTTTATAATATTTCAGGCACGTGTAGCGGTAGCTGGCGACCCCTGGCGATGCTGATCACTGTCCGGACACCTGAGAAAACAATACACATGATGTGACAGCTATTGTGTGAGACTGATGATGTGAGACTGATGAATATATATATATATATATATATATACTAATTCTCTATTGTATTTCAGGCACGTGTAGCGGTAG